GCTTCAAACATAAAGATATTAAATTTACATTTTTTGTCATGAATCAACAACAAGTGGGACACAATCGTGAAGTGGAACAAAAGTTATTGGATAATTTAAACTTTTTTAACAAATAAAAAACCGAAAAGTGGGGCGTGCAATATTATTTGGCCCCTTTACTTTCAGTGCAGCAAACTCACTCCAGAAGTTCAGTGAGGATCTTTGAATGATCCAATGTTGTCCTAAATGACTGATGATGATAAATAGAATGCACCTGTGTGTAATCAAGTTTCCGTATAAATGCCCCTGCTCTTTGATAGTCTCAGGGTTCTGTTTAAAGCGCAGAGAGAACCATGAAGACAAAGGAACACACCAGGCAGGTCCGAGATACTGTTGTGGAGAAGTTTAAAGCCGGATTTGGATACAAAAAGATTTCCCAAGCTTTAACCATCTCAAGGAGCACTGTGCAAGCAATTATATTGAAATGGAAGGAGTATCAGACCACTGCAAATCTACCAAGACCCGGCCGTCCCTCCAAACTTTCATCTCAAACAAGGAGAAGAATGATCAGAGATGCAGTCAAGAGGCCCATGATCGCTCTGGATGAACTGCAGATAACTACAGCTGAGGTGGGAGAGTCTGTCCATAGGACAACAATCAGTCGTGCACTGCACAAATCTGGCCTTTATGGAAGAGTGGCAAGAAGAAAGCCATTTCTCAAAGATATCCATAAAAAGTCTCGTTTAAAGTTTGCCACAAGCCACCTGGGAGACACACCAAACATGTGGAAGAAGGTGCTCTGGTCAGATGAAACCAAAATCTAACTTTTTGGCTACAATGCAAAACGATATGTTTGGCATAAAAGCAACACAGCTCGTCACCCTGAACACACCATCCCCACTGTCAAACATGGTGGTGGCAGCATCATGCTTTGGGCCTGCTTTTCTTCAGCAGGGACAGGGAAGATGGCTAAAATTGATGGGAAGATGGATGGAGCCAAATACAGGACCATTCTGGAAGAAAACTTGTTGGAGTCTGCAAAAGACCTGAGACTGGGACGGAGATTTATCTTCCAACAGGACAATGATCCAAAACATAAAGCCAAATCTACAATGGAATGGTTCACAAATAGACGTATCCAGGTGTTAGAATGGCCAAGTCAAAGTCCAGACCTGAATCCAATCGAGAATCTGTGGAAAGAGCAACCAAAGTTCATCCAACCTCACTGAGCTCGAGCTGTTTTGCAAGGAAGAATGGGCAAGAATTCCAGTCTCTCGATGTGCAAAACTGATAGAGACATACGCCCCACTTTTCAGTTCTTTATTTGTTAGAAAAGTTTAAATTATCCAATAAATTTCGTTCCACTTCACGATTGTGTCCCACTTGTTGTTGATTCTTGACAATTTTTTTTTTTTAATATCTTTATGTTTGAAGCCTGAAATGTGGCGAAATGTTGAAAGGTTCAAGGGGGCCGAATACTTTCGCAAAGCACTGTATGTAGCATCAGACCTTAGCTTCACTGTGGCTGGTTACACGTGTGCGAGCCATGGAGCTGTAAATGTTTTTTTTCTTAATTTCTAATTTTCTCTTGTGTGCACAAAGTCTGATTAGCACCAAATGTGAATCAGTTGTTCACATCTCACATCTCCTTGGCCTAGTCCACCTCAATTTGAAAAACATGAACATTTAGCATTAGTGCCCTCTAGAGAGTGAGCCAACATTTTACTAGGGAAACTTATTCAAAATGTTGGAAATATTGCACAAACATTATTTTTGGTATCCCACTTCTGTTACAGACTGCTCAAATTAAAACACCTTTTTTTAGAGGTATCATTTCCAAGACTTTTTTAAAATTACTTGGCAGGAAAAAAGATCACATGCTCAGACTGAAATGTGTCAATGTTACTAAAGTTTTGAGTATATTTGACTCGTTCAAATGGTAGTTACTGTTACTCAATTAATTATGGCAATGTGTGTTCATTAATCACAGTTTACAGTGCAGGGTAATGTTGAATGGATTTATTAAGAGATTGAGGCTGTTGTCAGGGCAGAGTTTATGGACTGTTTTGAAGTTTTATCAGGGCTGGGACGCGTGTTTGTTGTCAAAAAAACAGTTACTATCTTGTCTATTGACTTTGTTTTGCTCTATAGCTTTCCATCAGTGTTAGGCTTACAAAATGAAATCTTGTGGCTTATATTCAAGTGTGGCAAATATGTGGACAAAATGTTCTTCCTTTTGAAATATATCTGGTGCGGTTTACAGCATATACAGGTGCGCTCAGTAGTCCAGAAAAATAATGTTATAGTCCAAAATGTGCATCCTTTTCCAGATGAACTACTAATAAAGTTGCAGACATCCAAATTAATATCTAAACGTATCACAAAACTTGAATAAAGAATACAACTATTTAAGAGCAGGATTGATTTCAGCATGATTTCAGTTGAATGTGTTTTCAGAGCTGCAGACCCCTTCTCACCGCTCTCTTTGTGCCTAATGCCAGTGGACAGCTCCAAACACTGCCATCATGGACACAGATCCATCTCCCTAAAGGCCCACTCCAAACTAAGCAAACAGGTCCTGGGAGGCCCGGGGACGGAGGATTCCTCAAATGAAAGGCTATTTGAATGATTGCTGCTGGGACAGGCTGCTGTGATAGAATAACACATTCTGTTGAACAAATAGGCCCTTGAGTGGCGGTGGTCCCAGGGGTCTGTCTATAGCCCTGAGGCAGAGGCGGCAGCACATACAGGCTTCTGTGGTTTCTGTTGCAGAGCAGTGATGACGACCGCATCATTCTACACAACCAAAACATTTATTTGTATAGCACAACTAATAGACAGGGTGAGTCAAAGTGCTTCACAGAAACAAAAGGAGTGATTAGTGCGGTTGATTCATCGCAACCGTAAAGGCATCGGCATTTTAGTGGCCGTACGGGAAAATTGCAAATGTGTCCGTGTCAAGTTTATTTGTATAGCTCATTTACAACCAGAAGTGCTGTCCAAAGAGCTTCTCAAAGAAAGGAGACAAACAAAAGAACTTGAGTAAATACAATATACAAAAATGCAATACAAGATGTTGCGATAGGAAAGCATTAACAAGAACATTACATAACTCTAATTTATCTAATTGTTAAAAGCAAGTGCAAAGAATTGGGTCTTTGATAAGAACTTAAAATGATGGGATGCTGTAAATGTCTTCACTGTGGCAGACTGTTTAATAACTTAATAAATAACTCATCTTGTTGCATATTGTACAAATCTGTTTATTTCCAAGTTAACAGCTCTAAAACATGCTTAAATAAAATGATCACTGCAAATGAAAAAAAATGGAGTGAAGAGCCTAAATAATTTAGTATTTCTCTTCATGTGAGTGCATTTTGACTGTATTATCTACTATTGCAAAAGGCAAATCCAGTCTTATGAACTTTGAGTTTGAAACACGGTGGGATTAAATTTGAGAATATAATTGCCAATGAAAATTCAACTGTAAAAAAGTTGTCAAATAAAGAAATATAACTTCAAACATGGTAAGTTTTCGGGTTTAATTTGAGCATTAATAATAATAATAATAATACATCGGTTTTATATAGCGCTTTTCAAGAACTCAAAGACGCTTCACAAATTCATGACACACACGTTTAAACAGACACACAAAACTAAAAATCTAAGAGTGGGAAAGAAGGGTATAAAGTTTAAACTAAGAGTAATGTGCTTGGAGGAAGAGTTGAGTTTTGAGCTGTTTTTTGAAGTAGTTTAGTGAGTCCGAGGTTCTGAGATGGAGAGGGAGAGAGTTCCAGAGAGTGGGAGCAGAGACTGCGAAAGCTCGATCCCTCAAGGTTCGGTGCTTGGATTTGACAGTGGGAGTGAGTGACATTACTTTGCAATCGTAAACAGAAGCATAATCACAGTCGTCATCTGTCGTCACTATCATGTGAAAATAGAAAACACATATTTGATACTAAATGGCTTCACACAACCACATGTTTAATATTTTGTCTCGTGATCAAGGGAGTTACATTTTACTGTGGTTTTAAATCATCAGGCCATTTTCTATGTATCAATTCCTTGCACAATGTAAACCTGCTTTCACTTTGCCTCTGCCCAAGGACTATGGAGGAAAACTAGCTCCTAGCTATGTTTGGTCTTTAATTACTGTGTAATGTCATTGATAAACTCCAAGTCAAAAACTGTGCACTTTACTGATGTTCAGTTGAAGGGGAGTGGTCAACTTCCTCCATCACGTTCTTTGGACATAGTAAATGTCCTGTCACAGCTTTTATTTATGACTGACATTATTCATTTAATGATTTTTATTGTGTTATATTGGCTGCTCAGCTAAATAATAAGCTACATTAAGACCATATTTTCTCATTTATCAGTCAATTTCAATAATAATAATAATTCCAGAGATTTACTGTAAACGCTATTGAAATCTGCCCATCACTTTTATCTTCTTTGAAAGAAACACACAAACAAACCAGGATGAAAACCTGGATGGAGGTCATAATGGAAGCTAAGAATACATCCTCTGCTTGGCAACATACTGCATTTCATCCCATGTACTGTGAATGGCACAACATTGAGACAAACAAGGCTCTTGGACATTTTTGTTCTGGTGTTCAGGTTTCTAGGTACATTTAAAATTTGAGTCAGAAGCAAAATGGACCCTAAATGCAATTCACAGAATTTGCTACTAGTCTGTCGTCCTTTTCCTGGTCTGTTGATACAATAAAAGTTTGTTCACATTTGCTGTAATCAATCAACAAAAAAAGGGGTAGCATCTACATACATATACACATTTTGCTCGACTTGGATTTCACCAACAGATTGACCAATGACCGCCAGCCCTGCTCTAACCCCACAGTCTAACAATGTTGACCTGAGCAGAAGTGTCCAGAGACAGCCCCTCACTGACTTCACACTGCACCTATTCACTGTCGGACTCTCCTTGTTTCACCTTATGGCCGCGGCAGGTTGCGAGCACTCTTCCCCTGCACAGCTGCTTCAGCCCGCGCTGCTCAATGGGGCCTTGCGAGACACGCCGCAGCCGTTGTCGAGGCACGGCCCGGGCCTTTGATGATGTCACAAGGTTCTAGCGGCGCCATTGTGGACCCGCGTGTCTCCCGAATGTCTCTCCGGCATATGCTGAAAGAAAAGTCTCCCCTCCCTGTTCCTTCTGCCTTCCCCTGGCCCATGCTTTTGACACTGCCTTTCTTGTGAAGGGGACTTGGACAAAAGCCATAGTTTCCTTGTGTGATATCCTGTTAGGGCTGTTCTGCGAGCGGCCGAGCGTAGCCTTGCTTCACAGAGCCGGGGCCACATCATTCAGCCTCCTCCCTGTGATCTGCGGCTCACAACAAACCGGGCTCGGGCCACAGCTGAGTGCCCCGAGAGAAAGAGCGCAGCACAATGTCTCCGAGCCAGACGCGCAATTCAAAGGCGCATTATGCAGGAGGAACCCGCTTTAACATGGCTCACGCTGACACCGCCACCGGAACTGACTTTGAAATATTCAAAGCAAAAGAAAAAGGATGCTATGGCTCCATTAGAAAAGTTGGGTTTGAAATTGTAAATGAAATTGATATCTCAAAGTGTAGATGTTGGACGTGTTGGCGACAAGGTCTTTGCACTTAGTTGGGTCTTCCTTCACAACTAAAGAATTATGCAAACTAGAAACACCCTGGCTCTGTGTGTGCTACACTGCAAAAAATTATCAAATACTAGGTCATAATTACTTGAATAGAGTTGTTTTTTGTATATTTTGTGTATTTTATGTGCTCTTACTACGGTCCTGTCTGTGCGCTGTAACATTGAAATGTCCCCACTGTTTTGTCTCATTTCAAGAACTGTTGCTTTATTTCCTCATTCCAAGGGAGACATTTCTTATGGATTTTTAAAACAAGATATTTTGGCTCGTCCCATTGGCAAATCCTGTTTTAAGGCAGTCAAATTTGAGTAATTTTTTACCTATTTTTCATCACTTTTTGCGGTGTAATTACTCAATAAAGAGTATTTAAACTTGGAATTTTTCATGCTGGAATTATACACTATATTTCGCTGTCCATCCTATCAGGAGAGACGACAGAAAAGCAGAACCTCTCAAATGGCCACGGTTGTAAATAATTTCTTTTGTCTACACTCAGAAGAGGTGAAACAGTTAATACTGGGGGGACTGACAAATGATCAGGCCTTGTCCAGGATCCCAAAGACTTCCAGGCTTTGGCTTCTGAAATGTGGATGAAGTATCTACTCTATTTTGCATTAGTTGATTGGGTCGATACTTTTCAACTTGAATACTTTATGAAGCGCTTTGTGGTTTGTATGTGAAAAGCCTGAGAAACAAAATGAGCACAAAATGATGACCGATGAACTTATATCTTTTACATGTTTGAAGAAGATTCAACATCATACATATAACATTGATACTCCCACTGGTTTATGTAAAATATTTTTTCTCTGTGGGACATGGACGTGGGAGTGATGCAGATCCTGTCAGGTCATTTTTTTCAGCTTTAGATAATATAATATTTTTTTCCCATTTGTTGACTTGCCATATTAAAAAAAATTATATTTTGACTTTGGTAATAGTAAAAAGAGTGTCTTTGAGTGTCCAAAAAAGCGCTATATAAGTTCAATGTGTTATTATTATTAAAAGCAAAATCATACATCAAAAAGGCTTGTTATAGAGTTATTATTATGAGAATCTTTAGAAACTTATTTTTGTTAAAAAGGGAGCGTCTTTACTTTACTTTACACTGCATAGAATTGAATCGTTTAAAAAATATATTGTATTTTTAAAAATAAAAGTCCGCTGTATCTATGTATCGTTTCATGGCATGTGTATCAAGATGTGTGTAGAATCTCTGTAAGATACATGACATTTCAGCTTCAGACTTTTCTAAAACTTTTGTGATGCTGGGTAAACTTTGCACACAAAAAAATCAACTTATTGAAACCAAGCCAAAGAAGGCAATTTCAACAGCTGGTTTGTAGACCCTTAATGCTATACACCCACACCCCACTTTCTTCTTTCCCAATAGTCACTCCCCAGTCCCTCATCATTCCAGAAGACTCAAAAGTCCAAACCTAGCATCTCTACCATCCTGTCTTGACATCATATCACACGTCAGCTGTTGAATGAGCCTTCTCCACAAAGCTCTTTGTTTCCGCTTGTTGCCTTGTTCTCCAATTCAACCTTTGTTTCCCAGCCAGCTCAATTAGCCCCTTTTATAATTAACACCCCCGACTGGGTAATCAAACAGAATCTCAATTAATGGCAAAAAGTGATGCATTGACAGTGACGCGGGGGTGGTCGAAGAGCAGCCATATCTCTGGGGCAAACGCGATAGAATGACTTAAGACGAGCAGCTTGCGAACTGTCCCAGGCTTTGACGAAGAAACGTTTAATTATACCCATGGTAGAAGAGGTCCCCTATTGTCTCAAGCTAATTTGTCCCTTTTGGCGATATCCCCCGGGTCCCGAAGGCCTGGCTGTCTGTCTTAGGTTACCCCCGCAACCTCCCTTCTCGCGTTGGCAGTGCAAAGTCCCAGACAGTATTTGGTTTTGTTAAGTGCGACCCAAAGATCGAGCCTCTTGGGAGGGAAGATGAAAGAAGCAAGGCCGCCTCCTCCTTCGCAGGGAAAAAAAAGGATCAAGCAGGTCAGTTTCGCGGTGTCCACAAAGGGTACGCGGCCGGGTCGGATGAACGAAGAGCGGTTAGCGATTCATGGTGTAATGGATGGTCAGAGAGGGCCTAGGAAGAGCACCTCCTACTGAAATGAAAGATATAAGGCGACAAGCGAGAAGAAGAAGTGGATAAACGGTATAATTCACGGGGCTCGTCTTGGCGAAAGTAGGATCGGTTACAGAGGGAGAAGTGATTTGTGCGAAAAGCTGTAAGCGAGAACGTGTAATGAATTATAAAAGGGGAGATCTACGTGGTTGTTTTGGTCAAGAGCGAGTGTAAATTTTAAGCTTAACGTCAGAAAAAGCTATTTGGAGGAAGACTGAGCTGTTGTGCTCAGTGTGTGGGGTAATCATTGAAGCTTTATCCACAAGCTTGATCTAAAACTTGTAGATAAAGTTTTTATCAATGAGGTTTTTTGGGACTTGCGCAGCATAGATACTGTTGTCTTTGGTTCCTTTCATTTTTGAAAATAGTGATTCCTATTTCAAGCCCAATTTTTTTTGCCAATCGGAAGTAAACATTTTCAAGTCACTGACCAGAATAAGATTGTAAAAAACAGCAATCTCTGCTAAGAAAACCTAAATTTCAGGTAATTTGAGCCTGTATATGAAAGTTTTGCAATCCACATGTTGTGCAAAAAATTGTATTTGTTCAGCTTTTATCCACATTATGACTGCTTTCCATCATTATAAGTATGATTTTTATCGATTCCTGCATGTTTGAGTGCTCAGAAAAGTACTGTTTTCACCCACCACTTACCTCTGCCCACTTTCCCCGCTATAAACATTCAATTACTCTTGAATTCTGACTGAAAATTGTCAGCAAATTTACATCACATGCCTTTCAGTCTTCCTTGAACATTGGTAAAACATTTTTTTCTCAGATTTATATATCTTTCTATCTATCTATCAATCTATCTATCTATATATAGATCTACTGCAAATAATAAATATACTGCAAATAATAAATACTCCAAAACCGAAAAGTTGTCTGCAATCTGAAGTCACTTCTGATTGACGCAAAGAAAGAAGCAACTGAACATTCTTTGAAGTCCAATCCCAGCTCTCCTGAAATGCTTAGCTCACGTCTCCTTCTCGGAAACTCCACGATCGTATTAATTAAAGCCGTATAATTAAACACAGAGTCTAAATCATCAGAAATGTCCCTTTTCCATATTTCGCCCCGCAACTATATGCCCACGCCTGGAAGATAATAAAATGAAATCCAATCGTCCTGACAGTGGATCCAGTTTATACGGCAACGCAATTTAAAAAGGGGGGCATATATTTGCATAGTGAATTAAAATTAAGACCTAATTATGCAAATAAATTATCAAATGCGACAGGGGATGGTTTTCAATTCAGTTAATATCTCATTTTGGAGAGACAATAGTCACTTGATAGTCCGGACAGCCACTCCCTGCTATATCCAACAATGGTGTTAAATATTCAGGCTGTATTTAATTACCAAAAGGTAAAGGGAGAAAAAAAAACGCAAGCTCATAAATGACAAGCATTGCGTCTTAAATACATATCGGTGAATCCTCAGGGGAATCCGGTTGCTTTTCATTTATTGTACATGATCGTTTTTGAAAGATGGACCCAAGGAAGGTGTCATTCGTGGAAAATTAGTCAGGTTTTATTAACACAGAGATAAGCCTGAAATGAAGAAAATAATAAATAATCGGTGAAATGGGTTCATGTTATATTTGCGTTTTTTTTTTTTCTCTCCAATCCTTCCTCTCCTTCGCGATGAGTCAACGCTGGTGAGAGTTTCATAGTCGGTAAATGGCGTGCAGTATTAATGACGTGGGGAGTTCAGATCCACCGGCGATGCTTCGATGAGCTGCTTAAAAATTTGCTAATAAAAAAATAAGTAAGAGTAGCTACAGAGACACTGTACGCAAACTAAAGTGGCTCCATGCATTGGGTCACATGGGACGGAGGAGGGGACGGGTAATCCTCAAGCGCTCTGGACTGACTCTCAGGGAAATAATGTCACTTTTTTTTTGAAACAGGCTTTAGTCCCATTGTGAACTGAGGTCGTGTTTACGTGTGGTTTTTCTCTACGTGTTTGTAAGTCTTTCCCAGACACTGAAAACAATGAAAACACTGAAAACACGTGGACATTGTATCTACAGTAACTCCCATTTAAAACCTGAACAATTGTAGACAGCTTTACCGCTATTGCCTTAAAGGAGACGTATACCACTTTTTATTTTTGTTGCTTTGAACCAGGCTGCAATATTATCCTAACACAACCCTGATACATTTTTTTTTTAAAGATTACAAAAATTACCACTTTGATATCATGCTCAGAGCAGTTTTTGTGTTGTAAAAACAAAAAACAACAAATATGCTCATCAATTGTTTTTGACAATTTCTCTGCTGAAATTACGTTCTTGTGATTGTGTGACTGTGTTTGCAGCCGGTCATTTTCAAATCTGGAAAAAAAAATACAAAACAAATCCTACACTTCTGTCCGGTGGCAGCACAGGGATGTGGCAGGGCATTAGTGTGTTTTACTCTTGACACTTGTTTCACCATATCTTCTCTACTGAAGGTAATAGTTTGCATTCTAAACCATGAAACGATAAAGTAAATAGCCTCATTATCATTTAAATAATAAATTACTGACAAAAAATAAGACAACCTACTGTCCTGGTGAGATCAAAATAAAAGGTAGAAGCCTCAAATTTGGACGACTGAGCAGAAATAAACAAACAATTAAGAGTGGCCGCAGCTTTGGGTCAGACGAGGACACAGCACTGCAACAATATTAAACGCTTTCATAAGTCATGCTTTACTTCAATGTCAATCTTTCCCATTGAAATAGAGCTGTATTTACAAACATCAATTAGTTGAATTTTTGTCAATTAGATCATGATAAAGTCTGTGAATGTGGGATTTTGTTTTACATTTGACCAAAACAAAGCTCCTCTTCATGGAGATGACTAGATTAATCAATCAATCAATCAATCAATCAAGGTTTATTTGTAGAGAGCCTTTCATACACAGAGCAACACCAAGCGCTTCACAGTCCACATCACAAAGCACAAATCATCACATAAAACAAACACCATGAATTAAAATTAAAACATTAAAATCATACAAAAAATTGAAATCATTAAAACTCTCAAATTACAAAAGGAATAAAAAAAAAAAAAAAGTAACCACAGTGCATTAAAAATTGATATAAAATCCAATACACATTGTGTTGTTGGATTAAACATATTTTGTAAATATATTTTCATTTCTCTCTGCAGACACAGAGAGTCTCAGCATGTTCGACAAATGATGAATCGATTTCTTGATAAGTTGACAACTATTTCCATAATCGATATGTGGTAATGAATTGATGATGAAGTTGTGATGCTGCTTTAGAGTAAAACTTCACTTGCAACATATCAGACGTGTTTATGGTTGATCTAACAAGTTTACAGATCCTTTTTCTAACATAAACATAAAGATAACATTTACCTTGTTTCATAAATCTGTAATCGACTAAGCAGAATGACAAAAAGAAAGTAATTTAAAATGCTTTGGGTGACCTTGGTCTGTTGAAATGCTCTATATAAATAAAAATTACTTACTTTTTCACTCCGTATTCGCTCCAAAATAATTTAAATTGCTTGTTGCCTAGTTGCAGCAATACTAAAAGCTCAGAAATGTACACTTTTTTTACCTGCTATTTTCTCCTTTAAAACCACTTGCAGTTTGGAGTAGATTTAGCTTCAAAATTACACACACGGCACACATACACACAAACACACGTACACACGCACGCGAATACACACACACACACACACACAAACACACTTGCTTTCGTCCAGTCTACAAATGAAATGACAGCAGGCGTTCAAATCCCACGGGGCCCAAAGGGTTCATTTTAAATCGACAGAAAGCCAAGAATATAAGTTTCTCTCATGCACATCCTCCAAGTTTGCGCGCTCAGGACTTGGGGAGATGAATAGCGTGGAGTTAATGGACTGGCCAAACATGATGACATTGGCTTCAGCATTAATTAACAGAGCTGTAAAACACAGCGGTGTGATTGGGGCTGTTAAAGTCCCAATAGCCTTATATTAAAAAGACTTCTGTGCGAATCCCATGGCGAAATTCTCCAATACAATTTTCTTAATGCAGCTCACACTCTGTCGGTTCATTCAGTCCGCTCCAAGAAACCAATCCTTTCTCATTTTTTATCTGAATAAAACAGGTCCTTCCACTCAGACGGATCCACACATCAGGAATCTCATAAAAAGTGGAATTTCAATGCGATTTGTCAAAAGTCAAATTGTTAATCAAAGTAGTACCGTTTCTTTTTGTGCAGTGGCTCAGCTCGCACAATAATACAATATGAAATTACAAATTATGTTGGTAGTTATATTCATCAGTGCAAAACTTTCTCTTATTAATATGATGAAAGATTGCAAGTCCTGATTTTGAATTTGAATTTCATTATGATAATTTTGTCCATGAAAAACATGCACAATTAGGTTTGTATTAGAAAGAAACAGCTTCTGCTTTAGCTGGCGGGACAAAACTGCTGTCCGCATGATGCCAGCTCCGTGTTGCCAGGTTGAAACGCACTTACAGCCAAAAATAAATCAAAGTAGTCCAGGTTGTTTAACATTCACTGAGTTTGGGTTTGCTACATTTACAGTATAAGTAAGAAATTGAATTAAATAACATCGGTCTAACATTTTCTGGCGTTTTAAACACTGATTTTCAATTGTTACTCTAAACTAGGAGCATTGATAAGATATTAATATGGCAACCATGGCATGTTTTACTTCATGTTAAATCAAATATTCCTCAAGAAGACTACTGTATCATAATTCTCTCTCAAGTAATATTGAGACAAATTATGACACTGCTGAATCACTGAATCAATGAATCACAAGATTGATAAAAAAAATAACATAACTAAACATTGGTTGAGTGGTCACATCGACTGCCACAGTTTGCAGGTCTGAAAAAGGCTCCCGTTGATGAATGCTGCAGCGTGTCCATGGGCAAGACACTTAAGCCAAATACTGTAACCCTCAGTGTCTGTGCACACTGGAGTATGAATGTGTGTGAATGGGTGAGTGGTGCTTTAAGTTCTTGAAAAAATGTTGCACATTATTATGGTTTTTGAGAGACTCTTTTCTTCTTTTCATATTTTAGAATGTTAAATAATCTCCGGTACAGTGAAACAAGAATCAAGGGTAAATAATATATGTTTAGCAAAAGTTATTTCCCTCCTTATTTTACCACCAGAGGGAGGTGTAGAATGTGTTTCTTTTTTTTATTCCAAATATGAAAAATACCAACTGCAAACACGTTGGGGTCCATAAACGTAATTTCACTTGAGAAATTGCCAAATATAATTTATGGGCAATACTTTGATTTTAAAAGTCAGATAACTCCACCATAGTGGTGCAATGCCATCATACTGTTACAGGACTTTAGACAGAAGGGGAGGAGTTACATTTTTGCCAGAAGTTCTTCATATTAGCGTAGATGGATATAAAAACCACTCCAAAATCTGTTTTATTGTTGTAACACGGTTAAAATCTCCAAAAGTGTGTCTCCTTTAAGCCAGTGATATGCATCAGTCCCCGTCTGTGCCTTGTTCCATATGCTTTAAACCTTCCATCTGTAGAACAGGGGGATCCCGAGACAAGCCCCTACACTGAGTCCAAGCCTTCCTATCTCCAGCTTCGCTATCATAAAAGATGCAATTACAGTGCTGGCCGATACTTTTGTTCAACTACCTGGACAAAAATCAGTTTAATTCCGACGCAGGTAACACAAAGCTGTTCTGGCAAGTCGTGCAGGTGACACAAAGTCTAGCGTCTGCAGATAAAATCCTACTATTTGCATTTGAATCAGAGAAACCTACTTATTTCCTGGTTAAACGTGTTCCTGACTACTCTGGCTAAAGCTCGTGCCTCCAGATTATCTCCAGCACATATGCAGACAGTATCCGTCTGTAGTCGTCATGCGTGGCCTCGCTCAAGTGTGTCCAGAGCTCCAGAAAAACAAGAGGAGCTGATGGAGAGTGTCCAGGACTGAAGACCTCAGCCTCACGGGCCTCTGTCTCCGTCTGGAGGGAATCACTATACACTTATTGTTCAATGATACATTTCATGACTTCATATTGGTTGGTTGTACCTTTTCAAATACATATATACATACTGATAAATATATCTTATATATAATATAGGGAAGTGTGTGCGATAATACTTAGACTGCTGCCCTCACGACCCGGCAACGAATCAAGCAAAAGAAAATGGATAGGTTTATTCTGTAATTAGTTGTTTCACAAAAGGTGAGTGAACATGGGATTTTCTTCATAAATGTTGAGAAATTCATATTTATCTTTTATTCGGTTTGTGTAAATATTGTAAATCAATAAAAATGCATAACAAATCTAAAAGGAGTCATCATGTTTTAGTTTCTTTTTTCTTTTTTAACAAACAACATTGTGAACATAACTGACAGCTTGAAGTTTGAATTGTTTGGTTTTCTATTCTGCTGTTGGCAACCATTTCTTTATTTTTATACAATGATGAAAAATAAAGAAATTACAACACATTTTAATTTGAAAATAAATGAATTAACAACATTGTCAAGGTCACGTTTGAGGAGTAAAATGAGCACACAAAATGCACAGTTTGAGCTGCTAACATGTTTGGCAGTGTAGGCTGCGGGCTCGGCTCTGGTGGCTGGCTGCTTGCGTCCACTTCCTCTCTTCTCCTGCGGGTCAAGTAAACAGCTCTGGGGGGGTTGATGGGGGGCTCCGCTGTGGGGCTGGGGTCTGGGCAGCCAGCCTGAAAATGGCCCTTGTCCACCGCTGCCATGTAGCATTTCTGTGCGCAGCTGTTTGTCCTCTGTCACGGACACGGAGCGTAATAAGAAGAGCCAACATATTTATGGAGTGTGCGACCTCGCCAGGACACACAGGTCTTTTATCTGCCTCCTGCACTACAGCTTTGTTATGGGCCTTAACAATGCAGCACCTGAAATGTGCAAGAGTCTACTGACTGATGCCTTATTTATTTTATCAGAGACAAATCATGATTTTGTGTTATTATCAAGCCATGACTCAATTAATATATTTGAATAATAATATTTAAGCGTTGTACTTAAGATCCTCTTTACACTCAAAGGTGCGTCACATAGTTGTATTTATTCAATCTATTCACCAAACCAGGGGTCTCAAACCTTTTTTCCCCTCAAAGAGCAACTATTTTAATAACAAAATTGCAATGCACGTTTTAAAAGAAATTGAGTCAATACTGAATGATGACACATCTTGGCTTGCTTCATGGGTATCTGTAATAATCTATTATATTTTTTATAATAATCTATTATCTTTTTTTAGTTCAATATCAAATGCATGGGAAACAGTTTTAATAATTTGGGAAGCTACTTGGAATAAGGTGGATATGTATAGGTTGAAGACCCTAATATTAAACAATAACTGTGCCCAGCTGCCCTGGGACAGACTGATGAAGCAAGGCTACTAATTTGTGACACCAGAACCCTCCGTCCACCGTCATCATTCACACACACACCAGACTCATACTAGATTATGTGGGTGAAGTGTCTTGCACAATGGACACAATGACAGCCGCCCCACTGTGGCGCCTAACATTCAAAGAGGTCTACCATCACAGTATTAACCAAGTCCTGTCCTGCTTAGCTCGTGAGATCTACCGGGATCAAGCATGCAGATATGTATACTGTAGCTACATATTATTTGACATTCTTTGTTGATTTGCTTTTTATTTAAGTCTGTGACCCAAATGGGGGAAAAATCCACTTTTCACTAATATGATCTGCTACTATTTAAATGTATAGTGACAAACAATCAAACTAATGATTGTAACCTAAGAATCCGGATGAGAAAATGTGTCAAATCCTTTCAAATCTCACAGCATGCTTATGTAGGATCACACAAATCCCATATTCAAGCAGAAATAATGACTGTCTGGTGTACTTTTGCACAAATCCCTATCTCCGAGGCCAATTAGCACGCTGCATGTCGTGGGTTGACTTGTTTTTGGCTGACCGTCCACTCTGCTGCAGTTATGAGTGATTAGCTGGGCATGGGCTACTGCTGCTGCCGCTGCAGCTGCTGCTGCTGCTGATTTGGTCTGGACACACAGGTCTAAGTGAAGTTACCCAGCAGAGGAATGAATGGTCCATGAGAACAAAGAGGCCCATTGACAGGATCAGTGAGTGGGGATCCCCTCCTCAAAGCTCAGCAGCAGCAGCAGCAGTAGCAGCAGTAGTAGCAGCCTCAGCAGCAGCAGGTTAACCACATAGATTAAGCTGCACTTTCACAAAAGCAGGCTGCAGGCAGGTGTTTGGGACCAAATGATATCATTGCTCAAGTGTTTAACCAATGGGACATTTCATTGGTTTTCAATTTGGTCAATCAGAATCTTTGGTCATTGGAAACAGAAGCGACATTTTGTGATTTCAATACAACATTTTTCCCGGACAGGCTGTGGCTCGGTAACTTGGATGCCAATGCAGTTCACCAAAGAATAAGATTTTTTTATATCTTGAACGAATTGCTAACTACAAAAAATTACTGTCCGTCATGGCCATTTTCTAAACGTGCAAATTGACTTGGTGACAAAACTCTTATTACAATAGATGTCCAGATTGCACAAAAGGGTTGAAAACAAACTTTTGGCATCAATAAGTGAATGATCAGAAATCAGATTAGAGGATATTGGTTATATACAAATGTGAATATCAGAGAACATATTGCAATAGTGAATGGTTTCAGCTTTGACAGCCACCCCCCGACCCAGGAATGGATTAAGGGGAAGAATATAGATGGATGGATAATGCAATACTTACTGCCCATTAGACCCGAACCAATATTTATTTATACAAGAAATGTATGCATGTCTATATCAGAATTTGCCTTTTGCTTGTGAATAGTGCCAATGGGAACAGCTTCACTCCTGATTAGCTTTTTGGTTGCTAGGTAGTTGCCATGAGAGAACTTCCTACAAATTACAACCATGGAGCCTCTTTAATCAGGTTCTTCAGGGATTGGTCAAGCGTTGTGGGTGACATCAGCACTCCTTTTCCTTTTAGGACATGCCTGACATACAGTAGAACTTTATTGATCTCATGTTGTAGGGCTACAATTCAAATGCTTAGACAATTATGAACAAATAAGTTGAACGGCTTTTACTTCCTCGTACTCTTGCACCTGCGCGTCATCCAAACGACCACATATCAAGACTGATACGTTTTATCAGCACCGCATTATCCACCTCATATCTTAATCCGATTTTTTTGATCAAGGTTAAAGAGTGACAATGTGACCCTCTTTAATCAATTATCAGCACACAATGGCACTGGTATGTAATGAACGCGGCTAAACGTGTTCCAATCCGCTCCATCAGGGCGTGATTACCACGGACGGCTATATCAGGCGCTCCTTTCATTTGGTTAACATGATCAAATTGACTCCTGTGTCGCCAGAGATGACACCGGCGGTAATTAATTTCTCCATTAGGGCCGGCCTGATGTGACAGCCATGCAAACAGAGCACCACTGACAGAAGACGCTGCAGACCTCACACCGAAGCCGGAGAGCGGGCGAGTCTAATCACATTATCGCTACAGTATAGCAACGGCAGACAGAATGTTAAAACTTTGTTCCTCATCAAAAACATATCTGGAGTTGTCATTAGATCCATCCATGCCAATATCAGAGAACCTCTGGTACCCCTTCAGTCCAAATGGTTTTCAAACTCAATGACCAATCTTTTGACTATGACCTCAATGGCAAGCTGTATTCTGACTTTCAAAAATGAAGTATTGTCTCTAAATGTGTTTTTGGAACAAAATGACATTCTTTAAAACTATTTGGAACAAAGAGGGAAAGGTCCGGGGCACTCTGATTTTTAAGCTAAAAATTATATTATTGCTATCGGGACATGTTCACGTTTCGACCTCCCGAGGGGCTTTGTCCAAGAAATATATACAGTGTCAAGTGGTCACACTTGACACACATATTAATATGAACCAAATAAAACGAATGTCACATGACAAGTGATGGCATACAGACCTTGGTCTTTTAAATGTGCTATATAAATAAGGATAACTTACTTACTTACACAACTATAGTATAGTATGATTTACAATACCCAAGTCAAACTACAACGAAAACATACTGTTGTGGCCAATACCTACAGCAAGGGAAAGGGAATCCATAAAAAGTACAGGAGTACATACTGTACAGTATATTTATATTTACACCCAAAACAGTAAAGACCAATTTACCTCAAACCAGAATGGTCCATTATTGTGTCTTGTATATTTATCTAAAACATATTTGGTCTCCCAATTCTAAAGGTTTACTTTATTAATCCCCAAATGGCAATTAAATCCTCTGCATTTGACCCATCCTGATGCCGCGAAGGCATACGTCAGGAGCAGTGGTCGCCATGGTAAAGCGCCCAGGAATCCATCTTGCTCAGCTTGGTCAGGACCGGAGCTGGAGGATTTAACCTAGTGAGCATGTTTTTAGTGGTAGTGGAAACCGGAGTACCCAGAGGAAACCTACGCAGACACAGGGAGAACATGCAAACTCAGAAAGACCTATGCCTATCCACTCAGCCACCGTTCATCCATTATACTGTACTTATATATCTATGTATTTTCTACTATTATGCTTCGGAAAACAACACTTTTTCAAAAGTCTACTCTCGATACTAATTTGAGATTTAAAACTGGGGTACCTAATTTTCAAACTACAAATCCATCCATCGTGTTCCTCAGTTTAGTTGTAGCACTAGTTTTTGCTCTATGTATTTTTGGACTCTTTCACATCTTTAGATTATATTTTTCTGACAGAAAAATGAGAAAGAGAGGACCACGCTCACTCAGCCAATCAGCTCTCAGCCCAAACGGTCAAATAGTGACTCACAAGGCTCTTTCTTATCATTTCGCAAACAATAACATGTATTCTAATAAGGGTCACTTGGGGCCTGGTTTAGTTTTAGGTCCTCTGCGGTTGACACGACAGAGTATAAAACATAAAACAAAGGCGGGGTAATGATGAGATGTTTATTTCACAGTGCAGCAGAGTAAAGCAAAGCCGCACATAACAACACTCAAACTGGGTTAGAGGGGCTAATCTCCTGTTTAGTGGATTATGCAGACTATGCAAAGAGGAAGACAAAGCAGAGTAGCCTTCTCAATAGTACAGTCGTGGAAGTTCAGAGAGACTTTGGGATTTTGCATTGCTTTTTTGTGTACGTTTGATGTTTGAAGATGCAAAGATTGAGAGCGAAGAGATTTTAGCCGTGTTATAATTGTTTAGCGCATTCTCAACTTCCATTGTCGTTCTCTGCATCCAAGACACTGCTATCACGATTTGACATTATTTGACACTGCCTAAAATCTAGAGTATTTGTGAAAAAAATCACATCAACAAAGATAAGAGTTCCAACATTGTAATATTAAGAATTGCAATCAAGGACCAGGCAGAAGCAGTGCTCATTTGAACTATTCCATTCTACAACATCGGTTTAACTATCTGTCTGTTTCTCTATCTGGTAGTGTGCAAAGAATGTACCAATGCCATAGAGTTGAGTGCAAAAATTGAAGTTTCAGTATTGTATTTTAGGGAGAACGGCCTGAAAACGGTCTTGGATTTCCAGGATTTCAGCAAAATATTCTATTGTGGGGACCATTAAGGACCACCTTATCTAATTGAAAACCATCATAATTCCAGAAGAATAATAATGTTAAATGTCAGTTTCTGAAAGGATTTAGCCATTGTATTTTGTTTTAATGTTTTAATCTACCTCCAAACATGTAGATGCGACT